CCACCCACCCACCCTTCTCGTCTCTCGAACACTCTCCTTCCTCCTTTTTTGATTAATGTGATATTGTCCATTGTGGATGGTTTCTACGTGTGTACGGCCATGAATCCTATCCGGAAAGCTGCTCTTTCCTCTACCTAAGCACCCTCGCTCCCTCGCTCCCTCGCTCCCTCCCTCCCCCTCCCTCTCTTCCTCCCTTCTTCGCATCCAGGGTTACAAAATGATCATGGCAGGGGCCAACGCCATCGGCATCTGGCGAGGGATGAAGAAAGCCAGCGAGTTCCTCTTGCTAAAGATCAAGCAGTTGGCGCGGCCCATAAGCAGCTCGGAAGATATCCATCACATTGGTGAGGACGGCGGCTGTTGGGCGGGAAGGGAAGGGGTGCGACTGCAAAGTGTTTCCTGGAGGTAGCAGTCCTCTATCATGATTTAGGGGTGGTCGTGAGGAAGAACGGATCGTGGTATATTGTGCGAACGCATCGGTTCGTCGGCATCGACACGATTCCATGGCAGGAGCAAGCGGGGTGTTTCTCCTCCCATCTTCTCTCATTTGACCCTGCCATTCCTCCGGTTTCGCCTCACTCTCAGCGAATATTGCTAGCGGTTCCGCCGTTATGGGTGCCATCATCGCCAAGGGATTCGAGCGCGTGGGAACGAACGGGCAGGTACGTGTTTCCTGCGGGGTGTCCACCGGAATTTCAAATGTCTGTGACATTTTCAAATATTTGAAATGCGTGGGCTTGTTTGGATCGATCGGATAGGTTGTTTGACGTCTAGATCAGCAGTTCTCGATCTTTTCGTACATGCCGGGCTAGAGTCAGGGGTGGGGTTAGGGGTAAGGTTCGGGTGGGGGATCATGTACATGCACTCACAGGGAGGGAGAGTATGTGAAAGGGAATCTATTTCTCGCCATCAATCTTTACGACAAACTCCGGGTGGTATCGCAATCAATACGCGCCTCCGCCTCCCATGGATGTGTCGCCCACCATCCCCCTGTATGGCAGTCGTGCCCTCCATCCCCATCGGGACTCGAGGCGGGGGAGGCGACACACTCGCATCCATGGCCCTAACATTCACCCCGTCCCATGAACTTATTCCCCTGCCGCACGTTTTTCTGATCCCTAGGTTGTAATTGAGGAGTCGCCCACCATGTTGGACGAGATCGACTTCACGGAAGGGATGAATTACGAGAACGGGTTTGTGGACTCCGGCTTTGTGACGGACACAGGTAGGGAAGGAGAGCGAGGAAGAGGACGGGAGGGGAGGGGAAGGAGCCAATGCCCGGGTAGTGTTCATCCGACAGGCCAAACGTTTCTCACAGGGCGAAATTGCGCGGAGCTGGAGAAACCCTTCGTACTGGTCACCAACCACGTCATCAGCAATTTGCGGGAGATGGTCACCCTCCTGGAGACCTTCGCCAATTCCGAACGGCAGCTGCTGATCATCGCGGAGGACATCAAAGGGGAGGCACGGGAGGCATTGGTCATGAA